GTCTCAGAAATAGTGCATTTTACAATACATTATCTAACCGTCCATTTTCAAGATTTTCATATGTTTATAGATCTACTTGATTTTAACCATTTTTTAAATTTAAAATGTTATAATTAGATATAAAAATAGATTTTGAGATAATCCTAAGAACATTTTACATCAAAATTATAGACCATGATATAATTTGAAGGTGCACCTTACCTCTACACCTACGGATGCATCCATATGCCAACTGCACCCTAGTTCCTATACTCTACTTCACCAAACTTTTAGAAATTGGATGGCAGACTTAGTTTCACGCAGGAAAGGGGTGGATCGTGGTGGTAGCACCTTCATATCTAGCTACCATGTTGTTGTTTCTAATCCTGCTGACACCAGCCACTGACACTTTCAAAAAAGCTAACCCCTTAATCCATTTGAAAAAATGGGTAGGGGCCTGTCTTCCCCACTGTATTACTCAAAAAACAAAAACAGACTCAGGTTCATGTTATGCAACAATAAGGTACTTGAACAATTAAATGATGATTATACCAAAATTTCATTAAAAATGGAAACCCAAACTTAATTTTCTATAATCCATCACTTAGAAGACAATCTTTCATCCACTAGGTTTTCAATGTAGTCACATGGGGAGAGGAACACTTCAATATAAATAGGCAAGAACGTGCTCTAAGCCAAGGTTTTCCGCATTGCAGGTGCAACATGGATGTTTAGCCTTCTATTCTCAACGGGTTCCAAGTTAACATTCAAAAAAAGAAAAAGAAAATAAATGATACAAATTTGATTCGCCAAACATAGTTTCTTTGCTTTCTCTTCATTAAACATTAAAAGAAATGATACAAATTCGATTGGCAAAACATAGTTTCTTAAAAAAGAAAAGAAGTGATACAAATTCGATTGGCCAAACATATATTCTTTGCTTTCTCTTCATTAAACATTGGCCCATGAACCTTGTATTCAATTTTTCTAGTTGATCCCTCTAAGTCTTTGTCTTCCCTCTCCAAGTCCTTGTCCTCTCTCTCTCTCTCTCTACTAAGTAGTAGTA